TCATTACAAGTATGTTTTAGGGTATATTATTTTATATTGTGTACCTTATTATCAAACAATTATTATTATCATAGACTCTAGTTTTAAGTCAAAACAAGAAAGAGAACGGAGAGGGCTATGAAGAAAATGCCCTTCCTGTTCTTCAAGACCTAGACAAATTCAGTTTGACATCATATTCTCTCAGCTATTACATTAGTCACTGTCTGCCCAATGAACAAACAGTGCCTGTTTTATCTTTGGTCAACAAGTCTACGACAATGTGGATATCAAAATTATTTCAGTCAGTATACACTTGATACATTTTTTTAATTGTTTACAGCTTTTATATTTTAATAACTGTTTCATTTTAAATTTAGATTTTCAAACTGTGGGGCATTTTATACAGAAAATATGTTATTAAGTTATGAAAGAGTGTTACTGCTTGCTATGCACCGCCTGTTTGGTCCAGAATTCTTAAATCTATCCGAATTTCCAGTAGTTTATTGTACACCAGATCCAGTGTTGGTTGGTACGATAAAGAGAACTGCTTTACAAGTAATACAAATTCTTTTCACAGTTAGTTTTTATCAATTACAATACTTATCAATAGAATTATAATAGATTGGAATGAATGAAAAATGTGTRCAAATTATTCCATCTCTATCAAATGTACTGTACCCGTACAAAGCAGACTTACAGGCATTAGAATCTATCATCACAACTGATGTTGAAAACCACAGAAAACCTGTAATTGTTTTTGCGAGAGCTGGTAATAATTTCGGTTTTATATTTATTTTACGCTATCTTAATGCTTAATTTTTTGTATCAGGTGCACATGTTACTGGTCAGATGGATGATATTKTTAACCTAAAAGAACTATGCAGTAAACACAATATTTGGTTACACTTATCTGGCGACAATTTATCAGGACTTGCACTTACAACATTTAAAACTAAGGTATTTTACATAATTATAGCCATAGTAATATTAAGAGTTATTACTAATTTGTTATTTTTCATTTTTAGAGTTCTAATTTAGCTGATAGTATGACATTAACTCCAAGCATTTGGTTGAATATTTCTGCACTGCCCGTTATCGTATCCTTTTAAAGATAGAAATAGTTATAATTACATGATAYAATTATTCAATAATTTTACAACTGTAAATAAAAATTAATATAATTATAATGATATATCTTTTGTTAAATTCTCCATTTTCTATAAATTTTATTTAGTTTTTAATGGAATATGATTAATTTTTCTWATACATAAACATATTTCAACTGATTTTCCTTAAARATAGTTGATAGACTTTGTTTGATAAACAATATACAAGTACAGAATTACTAAATATTTACAAGAGTAAATGTTTACCTATTTGGACGTGTTTTCAAGTTAGTATTAATACAGTACATTAATATATGAAAGTACTTTTTTTATTTAATGATTTTGTCACACTAAAATAAATTTCTTTTTTAGGCTTTAGGACATGATGCACTGGTACTAAGGATACAACAAAAATTTGAGATTTGCCACCGCATACATAATTTGGTTAAACGTTATGACTGTTTAAGGATTTTGGTAATAATGGCAATTTTTATTTATCAACAACAAATAATGTTATGTTTTTTTTTATTCAGTGTGAAACATATGACCAAAACAATGAGTCTAATGACGAAACAGTTGCTGATATTATTTCTAACCGAGAAAATATTCCAGTTTAGTTAATATTATTATTTCTTGTGCTTATTCTAACAAAATGTATTAATATTAGATATTTTTTCCATTTAGGATCTATTACATAATCTAACAAGTTGTCTTGTAATCCAATTTGTACCAAAAGACTGTTATCAAAGAGTTTCTCCTTATTATGATAAATTAAATTCTTGGGTAAGAAACATTTCTACATGCTTAGGAGTTATTTTGGTGTATTCATTTGTTGTTTCAGTTAGGCCAAGTGCTGGAGCGAGAAATTCCAGAAGCACCTTTAGAATTATGTGAAATTGAGACCCTYGGTGTTGTAGTTACATTTTCACCTTTTACTGTCTTAAATTCACTAGTAACAGAAGATGATTGGGAAACGTTCAGCATATGTTTGGACCAACACATTGTTAGTATAATGTGTTAATATTTATCTATAAGTAAAATAACAATTGAACCATTATTTGCTTGWTTCATTTGATTGTTTTTTATTTAGGAAATTTTGCTTGCAACAGTTGATTATAAAGAAAGACTAACTGGACTAATAGCTAATCTGCCATCACTTGAATATGTCGAAATCGATGACTGGGCAGGACTTGGCGCTGTAAGGTATGTGCCTCAACAGTGGCAATTGTCTGACCAGCAATTGGCCACTGATCAGGCAAAACAAGATTTAAATCGATTAAATGTACGTATCGTACAGCAGCTTCGTTCRATTGATGCTGCATTTTCATTAGGTAAGTCAATTAGTAAATAAATGTTTAGCAAATAAAGAATTTTAAACCGATTGGTCTGTATGTTCAGGCGAAGGTAGTGATGGATTGGCCTGTGTTCGTTTTGGTATGGTCACAGCTGACACAGATGTAGCAGAATTGTTGTCTCTAGTCCAAAGTACTGGGCGTAAAGAAGAAGAGTCTACCAAATACATTGATTCAATGGCTGAACTCGTGAAAAAAGGTATGAAGAAATCAAATATAATAATCACCAAATGTAGTATAYAAATATTTTCATTTATCTTTTTAGGCATAGAAACTGCGACTGTAGACTTAAAAAAAGAAACCGAGGAAAAAATATGGCAAGAAGGCATTTTACGACATGTACCAGTTTTTGGGAACATAGTTAACTGGTGGTCTCCGCCRGCCAAAAATGCAGTGAAAGGCCGTTGGTTAGATTTGGAAGCAGGAGTTGTTCGATCGACCGAAGTGATATATGAAAAGAAGGCACAAATAGAAGAGTCTGATGGAAATGAAAATGTACCTGCCACAGCTGATGATGTGCCGATGGAGTAAAAGTAGCTAAACACATTAAGTTTACTGCTATAATATTTTATATTTTTATTTTATTTGTGTATTTATTTTTATTTATTGTAAATTTGTTTTTGTTCGTCAGCATTCAATAGTTACTAAAAGATATTTATTTTGATATTAATATGAATTTTAAAAATAATATTTATTCATATTTTAGTGGCATTTTTATTTTGTTAGACATTTTAAATCTGTTCTTTTTTTAATATGTATATGATATATTTATTTTACTAAAATGTTTTAATCATAATAAAGTACAGCGGTATTTATTATAGTATTTTATGAAATGTTCTAAGTAGTACTACCAGAAAAACAAATTTCTGAAATTTTAAGCTTAACAAGGACGTAACATTTTCACAAAATTATTAAGTCTAAAATAGTTCCCTACAAGTTATTTTACCAGCGTAACACAACCATCTAAGTAGTTTGAAATATAATTTACTAACAATAAAATTATAATCAACCTCCTAAGATAATATTTTTATTTAAACCTTCATACTAAATATATAGTATTTCCCAAGTCTGGGCATATTGGATTTAAAGAATTTAAATTAAGTTAATTTTAACTTTTTAAATTTTATTTTCAGCTTAACTGATCTTTATTAATATCAACTTGATAATTAACAAGTTACTTTAAATCAAATCCAAGTTACATTTTTATTAAATAATAAAATAATAAATAAAATTCAATTATTGATGATGCATATTGTATAAATATTTACTAAAATAGAAAAATTAAAATAGATTTAATTATTTTTTCCATTAACCAGAATTGTTCGGTACATCGGTACAAATAAATTAAATACACTTAAGTATACTACAGCCTATGAGCATATTGTAAGAATAATAAATACTATTAATAAATAACATGGATATACTATACAGGTACAAATCACAAGTATACAATTCTCAAATACATAAAAAATATTTTCGTCTTAAATAACTAAATAAGTTATTACTGTTTTGGTTTATGCTCATAACTATTTAAAATGTTTATATTTATTCATTTTTTATAATTGATAACAAATACTCTTTGGCATCAAAGGCCATTGTGTGTTATCTTCATTTATATTTATACACAGCCAATATTCTCAATAGACMAAATAATCCTTGAGATTCATTATTTATTCTCTGCTCCCGTAGCACTCAAGACTGACAATATTAAATTTTGTGTAATCATTATGATAGTTATCGGTGAAGTACATTCATTTTTTTTTTTAATTAAACTATATCTTGTTAAAATTTAATATTTTACTGAAGTTTAAAGATGATTCCTTTCTCTTATAGTTTTAGTTACATGAAAATGTAATCAGAGTTTAAAATTGAGTACTTTCTTAAATGCCGTGTTATTCATATCTAATAATTTAAAAAAATTATATAATACAGATCATTTTATATTTATTTTGTATGCTTGAGATACCTACTTTGTGGTCTTTTCATCTGTACTGTTTTTTATTTTYCAATTTTAGTTTTATCATTGATTTTATAATATAGTATACTATGGTATAGTAAATCTATTTCCATGCACATTAATATTTATGATTTTTATTATTTCAAACTATTTACTAGTTATTTATAAACATTAAAAATAATAATAATAATAACTTAATTAAGTTAATAAGTTAATTTAGAGTTTTCATATAACTTTTAACTTAACAGTTAAAAAAATGAAATCGGTACTATTAAACTCTAATGTTTTTTTTCAACTAAAGTCAATTAAAAATTTGCATTAACTTTTCACAAGCTTGGTATTTCTATAATTTTATTAGGGCTTATTATCAAGTATACATAACATGTAAAAAATCATTAGTCTATAATCATTGACAAAGTAGTGTCTCACAAATTTATTTCACTGACTTCTTAAATAAATTTTCACATCATAGTTATATTTATGAAAATATTATTAGTACGATAACAAATCATTATTTTTTAAAAGTTTGCCATTAGTATTTATTTGAATGAAATTCCATTATAAACATTTTCAAAAATAAAAAACTATTATTATTAAATATTAATATGATTAAATTACATATAATTAAGGACAAAAGTGCAAACAGGAATTATTTTTCTAAGTGGGTTTTACTAATACTGATTTCTCGAAAATGATATACCTTGTACTAGTGGTATTAGAGAAGAGTGAAGTGATACAATGATATCATAATTAGTAATTACAACATCTACGACAATTGACGACTTTAGTCAGAGAGCTTAACAATCGTATTATCTGACCAATAAGCATTACAATAATTGTGTCAATCTAACAGCAGGCTAGGTTAAGAAAAATGGTAACGTAATCTTCTAATTAAGATAAAAAATTTTAGATATATTTATTTTTTTTGGAGTTATATTTCAAACACATTATGGTTTAGCAATTAAAAAATATGTATAAAATATAAATTACAAATATGAAACACAAGTCACTGATTTATTTCAAACTAATATTAATTATCTGAACATCATCATGTGGTTTATCGGTTTTAGGGTGAGTTTTTACATTGCAAATTGTTTGTACTACTTCCATTCCTTTGGTGACTCGTCCAAAAACAGTGTGTTTATTATCTAGCCAAGGCTAAAAACAAAACAAACAATAATTTAAGTACAAAAATATAAAAAATATTATATAAATGAAATATGAATATATATATATATATAAATGTTACTCACTGTAGGTATAAGTGTGATAAAAAATTGACTACCATTAGTATTTGGTCCTGCGTTAGCCATGCTTAATGTATAAGGTTTGTCATGTTTCAAGTGCGAACGTATTTCATCTTCGAACTCACCACCCCAAATGCTTTCCCCACCTAATCCAGTACCTAAAATGGTTTTAAAAAGTGTTTATAGTGTTGTATTAAAATCAAAATTTAACTTCCATTGTATACCAGTAGGATCTCCAGTTTGAATCATAAATCCTTTAATAACTCTATGAAATATGTTGCCATTGTAGTATCCATTTTTGCTATGTACACAGAAATTCTCAACTGTTTTTTGACATTCTTTAAACAGTGCAACTTGAATATCACCAAAAACAGTGTGTAAAGTAGCTGTATCATATAATCGTTGGATACCTAATTAAACAAATTTTAAACAATAAATTATAGTATTTTAATTTTCCAATACAAAATTTAAAGGAAAATGACTACTCATATAAAATGTAAGAATACTGGGTATTACATTAATGATATCGATTTCTAACTATTTTATTTTATTTTTCAAAGAAAAAATATTCTTATATGATTCTAGTAAATAGGAMTAATTATAAAAAAATTAATTTTTTTAAATTTTTTTGTAAAATTTAACTTATGTAACATACAATTTATATGTAACAAAAGATTCAATTTTGCATTTTTAAATATATATATAAATATAATTTTTTTTTAATTATCCCGCATCAACTAAGGCCATTGGGAAGGGGGTAGTACTACTAGTACTGTAAGTTTTATGGAACGGTAGGTTGGTATTACACGTGGGTGAGAGCTTTGGCAGAATTTCTATTGGGGCACCCGTAGGTTTCTGCCATGCTCTGGAGTGGGGGATGGCGGCACTTGTTCTCCGGACACCGTAACTTGCCCGGAGAAAATGGCGCCCGATGGTTAAGGATCAAACCCGGTCTGGCTGAGCCACAGCCGACACGTTAGACCACTCGGCCACCTTGTTCCCCTTTTAAATATTGTTTTCTATTTGTATTAMATTTTAAGTTGAACTTTAAGTATTAATAAATGTTTTTCAAGCAATTACAGTGSATTAAGTTCATAACAATAGCAAAAACTTAAATTAGCAATTAGTATTGGACATTTCATAGAGAACCAAAAAACCAAAAAACAAAATGAATACAATTTAACTTACATGCAGCTTCAGTAGAAGATATAATATCTTCTTTAGATGGTCTTTCATTAAATACATCACGATCTGCATCAATGCTTTTAATATCTTCAGGTTCTCGCCTTTTTTAAATAAAAAACAATAATCTATTATGACTGTTAAATTAACATTAAAAATTAATGAGATCTACACATATATGAAAAATCTAACTTGGTAAACATATAAAATCTATTCTTTTTATATGCTGTACAAAACAGTGTAGGATCACTTGAAGAAGATTCCAATGCCGGATTTGTTGCTGCTTCCATTTCTAATGTTACCGCAGCTTTCGGTTTTTTAGCTTTACCCTATGGAGATACATAGAATTAAAATGTATAAAATCATATTTTTAGAATAAAACGCACATCTTACGCTGTGTACTGACTTGGAATAAGGCGACTTTCAATGCTCTTAAGTTCTCGGGTTTTCCAATAATTTTGACTAATTTGTTACTATATATGTTAACAATTTTCACACCTAGCATAGTGGGATAAAATAAATAATTCCCACTTTCATCAAAACATAAATTGGCTGTGTGTGAGACTTCTGTTTTGTCTAACTCCCGTTCCATTGCCATTCTGAAATACAATAAATAATATTGATTACTAGAATACAGAACATAATCAATTTTCTGAAAAGTTTACCTTCGAATAAATTCAATATTGGGTATTTGTTGTTTTTTTTGCTGAAGTTCACTAAAACGTGCCAAAGATTCATCATATACTCTACTTAGTTTTCCCGTCAACATGTTAAAAACTCTGACCTGAAAGATAAGAATATTGATTAAATAAGAAATAATACATAGCTACATATTATACAAATATGTAATATTGAMATTTATTCATTTAAAAATAAGTTGTTTTAGTCAATATATTTTTGGTTAGAACAATGTCACAGCATAAGCTTATCTAACGCAAAGAGTATAGATAACCAGACTATATGAAAGATAACCTTTAATTTAAAGCATAACTTCAAGCTCAAAATAAAAATAGAAACTTCAATTCTACTATACAAAACTATTCTTTATTAATTTGATTAAGTAAATCAATAAATGAATTGAATCTACAATGAAATRGTCCATTTTATGAAAATATAGCTATTTAATGAGATGCAAAACATAAATATGCTATAATATTAAATTGTTACTAACGTTTGACATTAAACAACTTAAATACACTAATTGAATTTAAAGACAAGTMTTGAAGGTTTAACTTGAAAGTAGATATAAACAATTTTAAATATAAATTAAAAATCAATTATATAGGAAATGTATATATAATTTAATATTTATATATTATTGATTATAAATATTTTATTAAGTATTTTACCTTTCTATCTGGTGACATAGTAGCAAATTTTAAACCATCATTTGAAAAACATAAGCTAGTTGGATGTGTTTTATGTCTGACAAATTCAAAAAGATCAGTATCAAGCTTAGAATCAAACTGTACACACTTTGGAAATGTATAATCTGTTTTAGCTCCAGACCAATATTCAATGATGCCACTTTTATCTGCTGATATGGCCACATCAAACACAGAATTAAACTGAAATAATTTAAATTTTATATTTTACTTAAATGTTTAAATGTATAATAATAACTTATTTAATAAGTTACAAATTCAGAATAATAATTACAATTTACTTTCAAAATGTTATATTTACCTTAATAAATACAATTTGCTTGGTATGAATTTTTTCTATTACATGAACTGGTGTATTCACTCCTTTTCCATCATAAATAAATATTTTTGGTTCAGTTGCACTGCTTCTGTATAACAGAAATGTGTATTGTTAATTTATATATAAATATATTTTTGCTTTTGTTCAAAAATATCATGCTTAAAATCAATACTATAGTCTATACATTTTAATTTTGATAAACAAAAATGTTTAATTCAAAACAGGTTAAAAAATTACTTTCAAATTTAAGCCGTTGATAAATATTATATAAAATATAGGTACATATTTAATTGAAATTTAAATGACTAAAATACAAATGCAAAAATTAAATACTTAACACATATTACTCACATAGCAACTGTGGGAATTGGATCTCCTTTTGAATGTACCCAACATGCACTGAGAGGTGTATAATCTAATTTTATCATGTTGATCATATCTGTAAAGTGATAAAATCAATTAAAATACTAACATAGTAACATAAACAAGTACTAAGAGTATAAAAATTAACAAAAAGTTAAAAATAGAACAATTGTACTTCTTAGAACTGAATACAAATTTAATATATTAGGTAGGTAAAGCAAATGACTTAGAAGTACCAAAATTGATGACATCAAAAACTTTGACTGTCTGATCTGATGATATTGTACACATTAAAGTTCCATTGTAATTATCTGTTATATCAGTAACTGGTGTAAGATGACTACGAAAATGTTTCACAAATTCAATCAATTCTTCAGTTTTCTTCCAAAACTTCACATGGCCATCACAACTTGCTGTTATTAAAAAGTCAGTTCTGAAATAAAAAACATTTAACTTAAATTAATATTTCAATTTTAAATAACAATATGTCAAAGTAAATACTTGGTGATTATAATGTGTGTGATAACATCTCGATGCATGTAACTTTTTTCATAAGTATCACATGTTGGTAAGTTTTCCAAGTACAAATGTTCATATTTTAGAACTATATTAAAGGATGAAATATTAATTATTAATATTAATAAGACTTACTTCAAAACACCTAAAAACTTTGGTTATAAACATGATAACTAAGGTATCAAGTTAATCATAATTTATAATACAATAAAGAATTACTTTTTCTYTTCTTTTTCTCGACGGTATTTGTCAGTTCAGATAAACTGGGACCTACGCATTCGTCGTCGTCTTCTTCGGATGCATTGCTCTTAATACTCTTATCGTCGTCTTCGTGTTCTCTTTTTTCTGACATGTTTTCGGTATGATTTATAACACAAAATAATCCCAAACGATTACAAGCAATAAACGCACAAATTTAAAAAAATTATTTCGAAATTTTTTCAACATTCGGCAACACCACAGCGAGCACTAAGAAAAAACAAACTATAAAAAAATTGTAACTGCCGTCCACCGTCCAAAGGCTTTTAAACAATTATTCGAATTTCGAGTGTGCCAGTGCGGTTTGTTTATATATTATCACAACAAAACATTTTTATTATCATAACCGTGTACCTGATGTTAGCGACGACTTGGTTTCTTTTTAAAGTTACTGAAACGAAAAAACCGCTCAATCATTTTATCTTTGTACAATTATAATACYTATACTTAATAATTATTATAAAGTATAGAAATTTAAATTTAAATATCGCGTTGTAGAATTCAAACTTCCCTACCACAMCAAAATGGAAACCGTTATTGGGATTAAGTTCAATGATTTCATACTCATCGCCACGGATATGACTGCTGCCCACAGTATAATGGTCATGAAAGATGGTAAGACTTATTTTTTAAAACTACTATTTTACCTACTTGTATCAAGCCACCACTTAGCCTTAATTCTTTTGTTGTGTAGACGAAGACAAAACGTACAACATCACCAACAATGTAGTGATGGGTGTCACAGGTGAAGCAGGTGATGTACCTAGATTTGCAGAGTACATCACTCAAAACGTCAAACTTTACCGCATGCGKAATGGTTATGATTTGTCCATTCCAGCTATTGCGACTTTTACTCGTAAAACTGTTGCTGAACACCTTAGAAGCCAAGTAATTATTTGATTAAGCTTTTATTTGTTATTTATTATTGAGAAAATGTACTCAAATTTGAATATAACTTATGTCTAAAAGTACTTAACTTAGATATCRCTTAAAATTCAATTTAATAATTTGATATAATATAAATATTTGTGTGTGCCTGTGTAGAGTCCTTATCAAGTAAACTTCATGCTCGGAGGATATAATCCAACTGAGAAAAAATCACATTTATACTTCATTGATTATTTGGGRGCTCAGGTTGATGTTCCTTATGGTGCTCATGGTTATGGTGGTATGATGGCAATCACAGTTATGGATCGTTACTACAAACCAGGTAATTCAAATAATTTTGAAACACATTTTATTTTTGAAATAATTTTAAGTATTGTATAAAATCAAATATTAATAATGTGATACCTATTTAAATTGTTTCCTAAAAAATACATTGTGCATTTTTACTATAAGACAGACTGTTCAGATTTGGCACAAACATTTTTATTAATTTCAAAACTACTGTGTTCTTATGTCACGGTTAAGAATATACCGAGGAATATACTTAATATGATTGCRTTATCTCATAATTATTTGAGAAGACGGCATATGTTAGAAMCGCAGTTTTTTCTTTCTGGTGTACAATCTTTAAAATTGTTGTTTAATAAACATTTAATAGGGTTATTATATCCACTTATAATTATGAAATTATTTAGAAATTATTTGACTTATCCTTTTGAGAACTTGATTTTTGAGCATCTTTGAAAAGAAATATACAARCCAAATGATCTATATAATGAGAATTATTAGTCAAATCGTCAGATTTTATAATTACTATAATTATTATTTATAAGTCCTTACTTGTTAAAAYAAATCGATTAATCTTTAAGCTTACTGAATGATCATTGTTTATTGATAATTTTAAATATAAGTCCAATATAAGTATACTGATAATTATTACATTATAAATTTATAACTCATTATATTTAAAAAATTATAATTACACATCTTAATAAGGTTCAGTGGCGTGACGAAGGACTAAATTTGAGGCACGTGCCTTAGTTTGAGGGGTGGTGGGTGTCCTCAAAGATCATCTGATGTGTTAAAAAAGCATTATTATTTAAATGAATAAATATATTTTACCTTAAAAAATTTTTTTAATGTTTTTTGTGATGGGTGGAGTGGGTGGTTGGTCTTGACAATTTAACTGTGCCTTATAACTTAATGAAGTTTGCCACGCCACTGATATGGTTTGTTGTTATATTGACACTGCTACACTGTAAGGATACTAATTGATTTTTTTTTTATAATAGACATTTCTTTTCTATTGTTTATATCACACAAAAAATTATAATATAATATATCATGTGTGTGAATTTGTA